AACATCTAGCTCAATTGGCCTAACACAGTTTATAAAGACAATGTTCTACATTCTACCTTGGTGAGTAGCGTCTGGGGTCTTAAAAGCCTATGAGTGGCCATCTAAGATACTCCACTGGTTTCACCCCTTCGGGAGCAAGGGAGAATGAAAAGAATAGGATACAAGGAAAAGATCAGTCCAAAACACTAATGGACCACAGCTACCACGGCCTCCACCAGACTGAGTCCAGTACAGCTAGATGGTACCCGGCTACCACCGCTGATTGCTCTGACCGGGATCACAGTAGAGCATCCTGGACAGAGCTGGAAAAGGATGTAGAACAAAATTCTAATTCACAAAAAATAAGACCAGATTTACTGGCCTGACAGGCTGGAGAAACCCCAAGAGCATTGCCCCCGGACACCCTTTTAGCTCAGTGGTGAAGTCACTCCTGAAGTTCACCATTCAGCCAGGGATTGGACAGCCTCATAAAACAAAATGGGACTAATAAGGCACAGCAGTCCAGGGACAAGGACTAGAAGACAGGAGGGGACAGGAAAGCTGGTGATAGGGAACCCAAGGTTGAGAATGGAAAATGTTGACATGTTGTGGGGTTATCAACCATTGTCATAGGGCAATCTGTGTACTAACTGTTCAATGAGAAAAGATTTGTTCTACAAACCTTCACCTAAGGCACACACACACACACACACAAAGAATGATCTATGTGAGATCCAACTGACAACAGCAACTCAAAAGGTTTGATGGGAAGCCTAGGAGGCAGTGAGTTGAAGATAATGGTGATGGAATAACTTGGAAAAGGATAGTGAGAATAGCAGCACAACTGGAAGAATGTAATCGATGTCAGTGAATTGTACATGTGAAAACTTCTGAAATGGTGTAACTTTGGCTATGTATATTTTCACCAAAAAAAAGTTCCTCCAAGGTCGAGAAGGGAGAGTGTTGACATGTCGTGGGGTTGTTAACCAATGTCATAAAACAGTATGTGTACTGTTTAATGAGAAACTATTTGCTCTGAAAACCTTCATCTAAAGTACAATTTAAAAAAATTAAGAAAAAAAAAAAAACAAAGCAAATTGCTGCTGTTATGGAGTCTGTGAGCAGCTGGAGCCCAGCGACAATCTGGAGTTCTACCTGTGGTAATAGCCGGGTTTCCATAAACAACCTCTTCACTCCCAGAGAAATAAATATGCTCTGATGAAATTTCCATGAATATTAATATTGACCCAAAGTTGAATGTGTCATCACTCTTTATGGTGGTCCCTTGGGGTGAGTTTCCTTCAGGGCAGAAGGCAGATGGTATCTCCCCCAGGGAGCCTGCACCAAGAAGTCTCAGCACTGGGCCAAAGAGAAGTTTTCCAGAGGGCTGGAAATGCCTGGTGGGGAGAGTCCAACCTCTGTACCAATCCCCAGGGCATCAACCAAATGTGAACACCTTCCCAACTTACCTCCAAGTCAGCCGCCTGGGCCGTTCCTTAGAGAAAGAGCCTAGTGAGAGGGAAGCTAGCAGAACTCTGATTATTAATGATGACCCTCAGGTGAAGCTAAAGACAATCTCAAGTCCAGGCTGTCACTCCAAGGATGAGGAAAGTCCTGCCCAGGGAATGTCCCACAAATATAACTAGACCAGATGGAAGGACAGTGCTCCACCCTCAATCCATCAGACTTATCCACGCCACAGAGCTGCCACCATGTACAGCTCCCAGCCCCAGCCCATCTCACACTCCACACCACTCCCTACCTAGCCTGGCCTTTGGTAATAGTTTGTGTTAGTAACCACCTAGATTCTGTCCTCAGGAAAAATTTCCAGTTTGCGACATCATTTTAACCCTCAGACTTAACTTTTGGTCTTACTCTCAAGTCCTCACTGTCCTCTTACCCTTTGGTTATCTGCTTTTAGCTGCTCTGGGAAAATATCTCCCCCACTCCATACCAACCCTGGGACCTTCAGGCACAACACAAAACTAAGCCCAAGAACCAGCACATGGAAAGCCATCTCCATGACTGGGTGATGAATTAACCGTTGAAATGACCGGCTAATCTACGTTATCCCTGGGACTTCAGCCTCCAGTGCCCCTAGACTAAATCAGACCTCATAAGAAAGAAACAACTCCTTTTTATGCATTTGATTAATGGGACTGGAAAGATTTCTTGGAGTCCCTGGGTAAGTGCAAACAGCGGTACAAAAAAAAAAAATCAGCCATTAAAAACCCTATGGAGCACATTCTACTCAGACACACACAGGGTCACTATGAGTTGGAATTGACTCGATGGCAACGGGTAAAGATTTCTTATCTGAACTCGGTCAAAAAACACCTTTGTAGATACTGTGAACTTGTAAGGTACCTCAAATGACAGAATTTCTCAGGACTCACCTGGCCTTTGAAACCTCAGCTGAGACGCCTTTCTACTATTCTATTACTCCCTCAGATGGTTCCTTGGGGGTAAAAAAAAAAAAAAGACTCCAAGAAACTAGATATGTTTAAGACACTGGGACACAAACCCACCGCACCAGTAAAACTGGAATCCCACCTCCTCATGTTTGTTCAAGTTGTTCCTTCCGTCTGAAGGCCCTTCCCACCATCACCTTGTGTTCCTGGCCTCTGTGAGAGGTGACGTGAAACTCCCAGGAAGACAGAGTTTTGTGCTATCAGCAATTAGTCAAGCGAGAAGTTTGAAACCCAAGTGGAGAAGAATTCCATATGAATAGCAAGCAGTTGGTCCCGGGGCAGCAGGTCATGTGAGAAAGGAGGTGGGAGTTTAGTTCCAGAAGTAGGTAGGATCCAGACTGTTACAAGCTCTACTCTCCAGAATGAGAAGTTTGGACATTTTTTTCTTAGGGTGCTAAGGAGTCTTTGAAGGTGTTTCCTTCTTTTTGTCGTAATTCAGAATATCAGGTAGGTCCAAATGAATCCAGCTCAGTGAATTCCTGGACTTGAGATGCCGCAATTTCCCCATATTTAAAATAAGGATAATAAAGCTTAGTCCATAAGGTTGTCACAGGATCAGATAAGGTAATAAATATATGTAATCAGTGAATAATATCTGTAAACCACCTAATAGTGCTTGGCATACCCGTTGCTGTCGAGTCGATTCTGGCTAATAGTGACCCTATAGGACAGAGTATAACTGCCCCATAGGGTTTTCTAGGAGCGGCCGGTGGATTTGAACTGCTGACCTTTGGGCTAGCAGCCAGGCTCTTAACCACTGGGCCACCAGGGCTCCAATAGTGCTTGGCATAGGAACTTTCCATAAATATCAATTCCCCTCTCTACTCTGTTTTCTGTAGGCAATCTCCCAGGATCCCTGGACTCTATCTGGGTCTTTGTTTCCCTCACTTTCTATCTCACTGTTTTCATCTCTATCCCTCTCTGTTGCCTCTCTCTGCCTTAAACTACATTGTGCTCGTCTCTCTGGATCTTTTTTTTATTTCTGTGTTACCTCCTTGTTTTCTGTGTTTGCGTCTCTTGTAGTTTTCTTTCTCTTTAGTTTTGTCTTAGCCTCTAGAAAAGGGTCTCTTCCTCTTTCTCTTCTTCTCTGTAACTCTCTCTCTCTTTCCCTCCCTCCCTCTCTCCCTCTTCCTCTCCCTTCTCTCCCTTTCCCTCTCCCTCTCTCTTTCTCTCCCCTTCATCTTTGCCTCTGTCTGTAGGTCTGTCTCATTTTGTCTCTTAGCTCTTCCAGTTCTCTCTCGCTCTCTCTGTGTGGCCTCCAAATAGGAGACCAAATATCTCTATCTCTGCAACTCTTTAACTATCACTTTCTCTCTTTCCCTGCCCCACCCACCCCTCCATCTGCCCTCTTCTCTCAAAATCTCATCTCTGAAGGAGCCCAGTGGGATGAAACGCCAAGCAGGCAGCTGCAGAAGGGCTGTGAATGCCCCCTGAAGCTCTCTGCAGGAAGAGATCTGCCTCACTGGGGCTGTGGCCAGAGACGAGGATCTGCAGGACAAGAGGGCACTGAGCTGGGGCAGGGCTGGGGCTGGAGAAGAGGGGATGCTGGCCGAAGAGCCTCTCTAGGTCCCTTTACAACACTAGAATTCGGCCATGAGGATTAACTGAGTTAATTTATGTTAAATGTTTATTCACCGAAACTATGTGCCTCTCCTCAGCAAGGTGCTCACAATGGTCTCACACACCCATTAGCATTACTATTTACATGGACACCTGTCAAAGCTTTCAGAGGCTTAAGAAACACCAGGATTTGAACAAGGGCTTTGATCAGAGAGATACGCCGAAGACCATGTACAGCTTTGGACCAACTAAAAACTGTCTGTCTCAGCACCACATTGGGACCAAGAGGCCAGGACCCCTGAGGGAACTTGGCAGGGGCTCCAACACCCCTCCTATGGAGTTCCTGCCTCTCGATTCTGCTCTCCCTGTTAGTGAACAAATATTTTTTGGTGGCTAAGCTAATAGACATGTTAGCCAAGCACATAGTACATGCTCAGCAAATCCTTACTGAAAAAAAATTCTACTACTAGAAAAGTAGTACGTAAGTGAATAAAGGCACAAATGACCAGCATATCACATGCATAGCCTGCATTCTCTCCTCTGGAGGTCAAGCTGGGCTGAAGGCAGCTCCTGCTTGCACCAGCTGCAATACTGTTGGCTCCAACAAACTGCTTCTGGAATAGCTTCACTACCTTGGCACATCTAGGAGGCCTCGGTTAGGAGTTCTGAAGAAATCCATCATGCTCGGTAGACATGAGTGGCAGTTTAGCAACTGTAGCAATCACAAGAACAAACAGACATTGACAGGCTGAAGAGCGTTTGGCCAGGATGGCAAACTCAGGAGCCAGACGCTTGAGTGTGAGTCCCAGCTAAAGGCACGTGATGGAAACACTCCACGCCTCCATCTCCTTATTTGTAAAATAGGGGAAACAATGACGCCTACCTCATGGACCTGCCATAAGCATGGTTCCTGTTGTTAGCAGTCGAGTTGGCTCTGACTCATACACAACAGAATGAAACGTTACCTGGTCCATCTTCACAATCGTCGGTATGCGTGAGTCCACTGTTGCAGCCACTGTGTATTCTGAGTGGCTTCCAACCTAGGGCGCTCATCTTTCAGCACTAATTCAGACAGTATTCTGTTGCGATCCATAAAGAGTTTATTGGCTAATTTTTGGAAGTAGATAACCAGGTGTTTTTTCCTAGTCTGTCTTAGTCTGGAAGCTCCACTGAAACCTGTCCACTATGGGTGGCCCTGCATCTGAAATATTGGTGGTATACTTTCCGGCATCATAGCAACACGCAAGCTCCCACAGTAGGACAAACTGACAGACGGGTGGTGGGCCATAACGATTAACTAAGTCAATTTATGCTAAACGTTTAGAGCAGTGTCTGGCACATTAAAAAAAAAACAACAACTTGGAGGTGCTTCCTATTATCATTACTGAGTAACTGTTTTATGCCAGGCACGTCACCTAGTGTTACTTCAAGCTGTATCTCTCAGAAATCCAATCTATTCCTTGAATCCCAACCATCAAGGAGCCTTATCAAAGACCTGACTTCAGAAAACCTAAATGAGAACAGCCGGTTTGTTCTGTCTGGCAGTGAGGCGCCACTCACTCATCTGATGTGACAAAATACTTCAGCTTCTGCCACATTCCCTGCTTTGGGGAGCCAAGGATACAGTCAGCAGAGAGAGCAGGAAAAAGTTGAGATGTAAAAAATGTCATCATTTGGACAGTCTAGGTGGATGTCTTAATTTTACTGATCCCCAGGAATCTGCTTCCCTGTCTTCATCCCAAAAGGCATGAAGGTCCAATTTTGATCCCCTCTGCTACAGCCCTTAAATAACAGGATCCCTTCCTGGGTCTTCGAGGACCTCAGAGAGAAGTGCCTTAAAAATATAAAGTGCTGAGACCAATGCCCTGTAGAAGTCCCTGGGGAGAGCAGTCTGGGGTTCCCAGGGGTCGTACCCCTTCTCCATCTGCCACGGGCAGTCCCCTGCCCCTTAAGATGCCCTCTCCATTAACCTGGAGCCCTGAGTTGGTTAAACAGCTGTGGCCCCTGTAGACATGGAGGAGCACAGACCATTTGCTAGGCTGCATGGGGCTGAGAATCTGAGAGAAGCAAATGTCAGGCCAGATCAATAAAGCTCTGAATGGATTGGAGAAACAAGCTTCAGGCCTGAGAGTACATGCTTAGGCAAAGCACCGGAGACCACGATGGATAACAGCGACATGTCAGCAGTCAGCAAATGTGGCAGTCCCAGAGGAGAGAGCCAGGAACCAGGCCAAGAGGGAAAGTCTGGTGAGGTGCAGAGAATGCTAGACTGGGAAAAAGAAGGCCGGGATTCCAGTCTAATGTCACCTATAATGCACTGCTCACAGATACCATAGAGAGCTCAGGCTCTGGAACTAGACTTCTTAGGTTCAAATCCTGGCCCTGCCTGTTGCCATCAGTGTGACATTTGGGAAGATTACCTAACCTGTCTGATTTTCAATTTCTTCATCTGAAAAATTGGGTTAATAACAGTACTCACTTCATAAGGATTTTTAATGCTGATTGAATGAATTAATACATGTAAAGCATTTAGAAGAGTACCTGATGCATAGTAAACACTCAGTAAACATTACGTTCTTTACCACCACCCATCTGTCAGCCTGTCATACTGTGGTGGCTTGCATATTGCAATGACGCTGGAAGCTACACCACTGGTATTTCAAATACCAGCAGGGTCACCCATGGTAGACAGGTTTCAACGGAGCTTCCAGACTAAGACAGACTAGGACGAAAGGTATGGCAATCTTCTTTTGAAAATTAGCCAATGAAAAACTTATGGTTCATTATCTGACTCACTTGCTTTGGACACGTCATCAGGAAGGATCAATTGCTAGAGAAGGACATCATGTTTGGTGAAGTAGAGGGCCAGTGAGGGCATGAGAGACCCTCGGTGAGATAGACTGGCACAATAGCTACAATGATGGACCTGAACATGTCCATGATCATGAGGATAAGGCAAGATCAGGCAGTGTTTCATTCTGCTGTACATAAGGTCACCATGAATCAGAGTTCACTTGACAGCAGCTAACAACAACGTTATTTAAAATGAAAAGAAGAAGGTAGAGAAAAGGATTATTCTTGAAGACAGAGAGGGCATCATTCCTGCGCATTTTACCAATGCGTATTCAAAGTAAATATATAGCATGGCCCCTAATCACAGGACATTTCCTTCATCCAGTACTCAACACAGAAAGTCATCTGTACCAAAGTTACATGAAAACTGGTTTTGCTGGACCCACTGAGGAAAAGCACAATGTACACAAAATGATAGTCACTGTACTTCCAAAAATTTGGCACTTTATGATTTTCTCATTACATGCTGGCTTTGGAACCTAATCTCCACATAGAAACAATTGTCCAAGTTTTGATCTCACCTGCCAATTCTGGAATGTCAACTCCCTGGAATGTCAGGTGCAGGGTGATTCTAAAGCTCCAGGTAGGCTCAGTGGGGAGGAGTGCTGAGATCGACTAGCAATGTCTACCATGTGCAGTGGTGGAACAGATGCCATGTTGTGCAACCCTTGATCTAGTTAACCGCCAAGGGCTTCCACCTCTGAAAATCTAAGAGCCTATGAAACTGACCAATGGTATGAAGAGTAAAGAGGCAGAAGTGGAGAAAGAGCAAACTAAATGACTATTTTCAAGCGGCAAAGTCCCTTTGATACAGCCATCTCTGTGTCTAGTTGTCTGGTGCCCTCCCCTGCAGCCAGGCAGAGTTATGAAAATGGCCTAAGCACGGAGAAGGGAGATGAGAGTTCTGGATTCTCAGATCAAATCTGCACTAGTATGCTGTGTGAACCTGAGCGAGCCCCTTCTCCCTGAGCCTCAGTTTCCTCATCTTAATCCTTAAGGATAGGGTCAGATATTTATACTATTATGTATGTATGAGCTTGACTCTGGTGATACAGAAGAATGGGCCAGACTGGGGAATATCTCCCTGAAGTAAGAACCAAACGTCCACAGGACAACATGAGAATAGCTCACCCTCAGCCCCATGGGCTGTAGCCTTGCATTTGCATATCCTGGCTCTAAATTTAATTATCCAGTTACCTAACTGAAATCATGTGTTTCTCAGAGGCACCTACAATGTGTTATGTCCAAAATGCAGTTCTTACTCGCGACCGCCATGGCTGCCAAAACCACTCCTGCCACATACACCAATGTTCACTGCAACACTACTTACAATAGCTGAAAGGTAGAAACAACCTAAACGTCCACCAACAGATGAGCGAAGAAACAAAATGTGATAAATACATGCAATGGAATACTACTCGGCCAGAAAGAGAAATGAAGTCCTGATACATGCTACAACATGGATAAACCTTGAAGACATTATGCTGAGTGAACTAAGTCAATCACAAAAGGACAAATACTGTATGAGCTCATTTATATAAAATGACAAGAGTAGGCAAATATATAGAGACCAAAGTTTATTGGTGGGTGCCATGGGTGGAAGGGAGGAAGAGAAGGGGAGCCATTGTTTGAGAAGCAGTGAGTTTCTGTTTGTGGTGATGGGAAATGTGGCACAGATTAAGGGTAATGGTTACACAGCCAATTAGTATAATTGATATCACTAAGCTGTACACCTGAAAAATGTTGAATTGGCAAGCATGGTGTTATACATGTCTTTACAAAAAAAAAAAGCAGCTGCTGATGCTGCTATGTGCAACCAAACACTTCACAGGATTCTTCTTCTTGGTTTGGAGGTGGTTTAAGGTCATGGTTTCATGGGACATCCCAGTCAATTGGCCTAATACTGTTTTTCAGTGCTTCTGTTTTATCTTTTAGTTTGCTGTGTAGTGCCTAGGGTCTTAAAAGCTTGCAAGCAACCATTGAAGCTACAACAATAGGCCTCCACTCACCTGGAGCAGCAGAGGAAGAAGGAGAGATAGGAATCAGAGGAGGAAATGGAATGTGAATCTGGTTGCCTCCATGAACAACTGCCTGCTATGCCATGAGATCAGAATTGGATTGTGCCAGCTACCATTACTTAATGTTTTGATTTAAGTTCTACAGAATAATCCTGATTAAAAGGGGGAACAAAGCAGAATAGAGTCTTAAATTCTCAATGGAATCCAGACCTTCTGGAGCCATTGAGGCTGGATGAACATCTGAAACCATCGCCCTGAAATAATCTTTAAACCTTAACCCTCGAATCAAAACCATCCCCTGAAGTCTGCTTTTAACCAAACAATAGTTTAGCTTAATTAGTAAAGGTGACACTGTAAGCTATGCCACTGGTATTCAAATACCAGCAGGGCACCCATGGAAGATAGGTTTCAGCTGAGCTTCTAGACTAAGATAGACTAGGAAGAAGGACCCAGAAGTCTACTTCTGAAAAGAATTATCCAGTGAAAACCTTATGAATAGCAGTGGAACATTGTCTGATACAGTGCCGGAAGATGAGCCCCTCAGGTTGGAAGGCACTCAAGAGACAACTGGAGAAGAGCTGCCTCCTCAAAGTAGAGTCGACCCTACTGACATGGATGGAGTTAAACTTTCGGGACCTTCATTTGCTGATGTGGCATGACTCAAAATAAGAAGAAACTGCTGCAAACATCCGTTAATAATCAGAACCTGGAATGTACGAAGAATAAATCTAGGAAAACTGAAAATTGTCAAAAATGAAATGGAACACATAAACATCCATATCTTAGGCATTAGTGAGCTGAAATGGATTGGCATTGGCCATTTTGAATCAGACAATCATATGGTCTACTATGCCGGGAATGACAATTTGAAGAGGAATGGCATTGCATTCATCATCAAAAAGAACATTTCAAGATCTATCCTGAAGTACAATGTTGTCAGTGATTGGACAATATCCACATGCCTATAAGGAAGACCAGTTAATACAACTATTATTCAAATTTATGCATCAACTACTAAGGTCAAAGATGAAGAAATGAAGATTTTTACCAAACTCTACAGCCTGAAATTGATCAAACATGCAATCAGGATGCATTGATAATTACTGGTGATTGGAATGTGAAA